TCTGTACTGGTTGATTCCTTACGAGCGGTAAAGTTGGGCGGGTAAAATTGGTCCAAGTGTGATTAAATTCACGGCGCAGGCGTGGCGTTTGTAGCTCAACTGTGAGAGCATTGGCTTCGTGTAAAGTCCTTCCCTACTATACGGATTTAAATCCCACCGAACGCCGCGAGTTTTTTCACAATTGGGTCAACTTAAATTTAGCAAATCTGCCAAACCTCCTAAATAATAAGTTCTTGTTTTTCCACTTATGACTACCTTCTGAATATCAAGCCACTTGAAATTTCTAATCCCGTTTTGTTTTTTTTATAGGTAAAAGCGTGATTCACTTCCGAATGCTGCTTTCCACAATTCTTGCGCTACTGTGCAATTTCCCGCCTGCTATCAAATGCAACCCAGGTTATCACCTGCCGGAGGGGGATTCCTCCAATGACCTGAACAGCTTCATGATAACAGATGACACTCCCGCTGACAACCTAGTAGGGAAAGTGCGGCTCCCATCCACTAACACCTTTCCTGACCCCGAGAAAACCCCCTCAAAAGAGCGTCAATATCCGTCCTGGAACTATCAGGTGCTCGGCGCACTTAAAATGCCGGGCCAGCTGTTTCGTGTGAACAAGGAGACAGGGGAGTTGTTCACAAGGGAGAAAATTGATCGGGAAGTTGTCTGTTCACCCACCAGCATCCAAAACAACTTCGGTCAGAGCATGGAGCCCCAGAAATACAAAACAAATCAGCATCTGGGTTCAGATGCTGACTGTGTCCTTACACTCCAGATTGCAATCAACCCCACTGGCCAACAAACCCAAGTACCCCAATTTGTTTTCGTTAAGGTCGTTGTGGTGGATCGAAATGATCACATGCCCACATTTCCGCATCCGGGCTACGTTAATCTCTCCGTCCCCGAATCAGCCGAAGTTGGTTCACGATTTCCCCTTCCTCTGGCAGTCGATTTAGACACTCGTCAGTACTCCGTCCGCGCCTATGTGGCCGAACCTCAATTGCCGCCCGAATGGGTTCTCATCTCAGAAACGGACCAGTCCTTCTCCTCGAAAACTTCAGGCAGTCAGATAGCAGCTCTCTTTCTTGAGTTACGTAAGCCTCTTGATCATGAGAAGATTGACAGATTTACTTTCAGAATCCGAGCTCTCGACGGTTCAGAGTTGTCGAAATTTGCGCCTGGAGGAAATGGAAAAGATACCCTGCAAGTGCACATCTATGTTAAGGATATAAATGACAACGGTCCTGTATTTCGTCGTCCTGAAAAGTCTTTCACCGAACCAGAACACTTCTCGGTTTCGGATTCCCTGAATCAGAACTGGATGGTGACTTACACAGCAACGGTACCCGAGAGTAAGTGGATTAAAACGCCAATCGTGCAGCTTGTGGCCGAAGACGCTGACAGTCCAGCCAATGCAAAAGTCCGCTACTACTTTAGCCCTTCAACAGACAGGGAGATTCTCGAGTTTTTTACAATAAATGCCCACAGTGGACACCTCTTTCTACGCAAGCCGCTGGATTACGAACTTCAGTCACAGTATTCATTCCGTGTGATTGCCACCGATACTGCCGACGAGCCGAAATTACATTCCACTTCTCAGATATTGCAGACACCCTCATCCATTCATACAGCCACAGCCCAGGTCATTATATACGTGATTGATACCAACGATGAGGCGCCGATTATTGAAGTTGATTTCCTATCCACTGACACAATGACTTCCGTGCCAAGGAAGTACGCTGTAGTGGCGGAAAACGCCGCGCCCCCACAGTTTATTGCTAGTATTCTCGTCACTGACCGCGATGCAGGCATCAATGGTCAGGTGAGCTGTGTTCAGCAACCCGTGATATCTAATTCACCGTGGCCAAATACTGGATGGATCAACACCTCGGCTGTCTCTCCATTTCATCTGTCGGAAGTTATACAGAGTAATGGTATTGTTCAGTACAACCTGTTGACTTCAGTGGCACTCGATCGTGAGGATATGGCAGCAGGTGGTGCATT